GAGTAGAAAATGGCGAATTTAACTGAAAGAACTGTTACCCAAAAAAAATATTGATAGAAAAACTGCGTCGCAACCAAGAATTTTGAAGAAAAAATGCTACTTTCGGATTTAAATATATCGATGTTTCAAATCAAAACGTAATTAAGAAAATATCGGTCCAACTTATTAGTAAAAACAAACTGTTTTCTCAAGAAAGACACTTTCAAAGAACTCCTCTAAAATGAGTATCTTTTGGTGCATATAAGCGCATCTTAATCGAGGAAATGAGTTTTTTTTTCTTCTGTTTTTCCAAGAGAAATACATTTTATCAAACGAAGATTTCTTTTTAAAAATATATCCTGTATATCGAACAAGAACTAATATTATCCATCATTAAGTCATTCTGATCGATTATTTCTATTACTTCAACACAACAAAATCTGTTCAAGTCAAAGTACAATAAAGGAGCATTTTTTTTTATTGACAGACATTTTCAAGCGATAAACGTTCCCATGAAAAAGAGAAATCATAGAAAACAGAGTTCTGAAGCAAAATTTTTGAAAAAGAAACGCTTTGATTACGTTTCAACGTATTGTTTCTTATTGGTAACGTGTTTGAATACATCCTGTTCTATTTGCAACACATTTTCTCAAATTAAAACGCAATTTAAAAACATATTTTGAAATCGTTTAGTTTTATGCGCTTCGACAGAGTTGTTTGATATGCATTTATTTACAGATTTGAGTCATTGTGCATCCAAAAGAGAGTTTTTTTGAAATGTGTGGAAACGCTCTCATTTTTAATACGTTTTTCCTCAAAAAAATCAGACATTTTACAAAGGCGCTGAAACTCATTCTTTGTAGTGGTTTTTATTAGAAAATGAGCAATTTTACAAACAAGTTTTCTTAATATTCATATGTATATTTTAAATAAAACTATTGTTTTATGAAGTAGAGTCTGCTGTCATGTAGGTGAACATGTTGCAATATCACACTCGAAATATATCGCTTAAATAGGCTTGTTATAGAGATGAGTTTAATTAAAATGGCATATCAGAATGCATTAGAATATGACAAAAGAAATAATTCAGCAAAAAAAGAACAAAAGTGCATATACATTGGATTAAATTCAATCTGATATAAAAAAGTCTTAACCAATTGGTAGCGGTTGTAGTTCAGATGATGTCCGGATAGCAACCCTTATTAGTGATTTCCAGGTAAATATTGACCAGACGATGCTCGTTATTAATTTCTTTTACAAAGTTCCCGAAACTCCTAATTGCAGTAATTTTTTAAAAAAACTTAATTTATTTAATGTGGTAAGATATGAAAGGAATCATAGCGCGTGGTTTTGTATCTTCTTCATAGTATTTTACTCAAATTTTAGTGCAGCTTTTATTTTGTTAGATTAAATTTACGTGATCTAGTGATAAGGTGTGATAAAATTGAAATCAATGAAACTCATAGTAATTCGATGAACCTTGTATTAAAAAAAAAAATCTTATTTTCCTCATTCTAGAAGTGTCAGGCACTGGATCTGATTATAAACCATTTTTGAGATATGACTCAAAATGAATTATAGAGGGCAGCAGTTTTGATAATATCTCGCAACATTTTGTATGATCAGAAATCGATATTAAAAATCCAATAAAATCATAAAATTTAACTAGAACTTTCGTAAAAGTTTCATCTAATCAGCTTTCAGTCTCAGTGTATTCAAAACGCTCGACGGTATTTACTTCTGATCGCTAGCTGTTATTTTCTTCTAGAGGCCGTCGAGTTGTATTAGAGTGTGGTAGGGGTATGGGTGGAATTTTGAGTTGATTTTCTCTATGACCGCACACCCACACCATTATTTACAAACAAAATATCCATCATGTTAAAATCTATATGATAAAATGCTTGTCTCAATATTTTCAAAGATTTAACGAAGTAGCTTGTTTTTTAAGCAGATTTTGAATGAGAAATAAACAATGAAATTCCTTCTACTATTTTTTATTCAAAAGAAGTATTTTTTTTCTCAGTCATCGTTATCTTCAATGATTACCAAATAGACATCAAATATATACTCTCTATTAGTTTATCAAAAGACTGTTCAGATGATAAACTGAAAATGACTTATTTGTGTTTCTATCACAATTTTGTTTTGGTATATTTCAGTAAATTTTATGAAATAAATTTTTCTTTTACTCTGAATCTATCATATTGAAACTCTTGCGATGTTAAGTGCTGTCGGGTGGTAAAATCATTGTTTTGCAACTAATATTATGAATATTAAAACCAAATGTTTAGTTTCATTAGCTATTTTCAAAAGGATGAAAGTGATGTGTCACGTTGGATCTGGTTCTATACTGTCTTTCACGTTTTCTATTTTTATTCAAACACTGATGTTATTTTTTACTGCACGATTCTGTTTGTTTCTCTCTCTAAAACAATATGAAATTCAATTCGCGATTGAATTTGTGAAGCTCAAAAAAAGATTTCTTTTTCGATTGTAGTATGTGATTTGGTTTTCGGAATGTGGCTCACTTCATTACCTTGTTTCCTTTATTGAAGCCATATGCAGCATCCGTTGACAAGGCGAAGAACAAAAAAAACAAATAAAGGAACGCAGTTGTTTTTTCGTTACTGGCCAATTTTTATTCAAATCTTTGATCAACAATAATTTTGTTAACAGAAGATCACTTATAAATTCTCAGGCCAGATATAATTTTCTTTGATACATTGCAAAGCTAGCATTAATACAGATTTTATTACGAATGTTAATATGAATATTGGTGCTACCTTTCAGCCATCATTAGAATTAAGTAATTGGGATACGAATAATTTGGACGAAGAATCCAGATTCAACGACAAACAAAATAAATTTGTAACATCGTCATACTCTATCTCTCAACAACCTTCACCTAATTCTACTGTTAACGACTGGAGTAATGAAACTGATGAGACTGAAAAAAATAGAATGCAAAATGAGCGTAGGTAAATCACTTATCTAAAACAATACTAAGTGGAAAAGCATAAACGACTGATTTTGGAGTTTATGCTGCAAAACATCTCGATAAGTTCTAATCGGATATTAAGGCCTCGAAGCAAGACATATGTCGGCATCCAATCCTTCCTCCACCCGCACGAAAAGCCCGAAAGACTGCTTTATTGTAAGGGTATATTTCTTGAGCTTTCGATAGTTTTTGACCCATGATACTTTTAAACCTTGTTTGCTGGTTACTCATGTAACATGGGTTAGTAGCGTAGGGTTTAATGGAGTTCGGACAATAGGAATTACGACAATATCAATTTTTGTTGGTTATTTTATTGTCCAAATTCCATCAGAATTTAGACAATATGTACAATAGTTAGAATTAGAAGAAACCAGTTGAATTACAATTCATATAATACTAATTTCACAAATAACTGCTTTATGCTTCTTCTCTTACATTCATGTAGCTTTTTTTCTGCTCGTTTATACATCTTTAGGCCCAAGTGTGACTTTGACTGTAGCTGTGGATATGGATGTGGATGTTAATCTCTTCTCCTATGACACTCACATCCACACCCTGTTCAACACACAGACGTGTATAATCGACGAAGTATTAGAAAGTTGTAAAAAGCAATAGAGCCCGATGGAAGTTGGTGATAGAGGTTGTGGTGTCAGTTCTTCATGCGTCATGGTATTAGACATTCCTAGAATATTATGTCACAGTTTTCTGTAGTACATGCATTATTAAGTGCAAAATCAGAACAAAAACTTTTTTCTTTATGGAGGGTATTGTAAAATAAAACGGCTTGGTATGCGGTCTCATTGAGTGGATACTTTGAAGGTCTATCGATTGATATAATCTTCGAGTTAAACGGTATTTAAAGTGAATTGAAGCTTATTTTACTAATACCAGAATAAATCTTTCGAAAATGAAGCCGCTATGGCTGAATGGTTAAGTTGTTTGACACATATCCACAAGATACTGTGTTCGAACCTCGGCTCCATCAGTCATAGAATGACCTTGGACAAGTCACTAACGGCTGTTTTGTCTCGGACCACCCATCCGATAACAAATTGACTACGTTGTTGACATACACTAAATGGTCCTTGTGACTAGTATGTGGTTAGTCAGTATGTATGGGGAGCTTAAGAAATTAAGCGAGAAGAACTCTGAGTCAGGCCGGCCTTCTGTCCAGAGCTACATTTAGTAATAGATGTAGGAAAAATATCGGGCTTCTCGAAACTGTCCTCGGACAGCACCCTATACCGCAAGGTAGCCGAAAGGCGGGGTATTCTTCTTCTTCTTCTTTCGAAAATGACTATGCCCATCGGATAGTTTAATGTAGATTTGGCATTGATTAAGAACTCTAGAAATTTGAAATAAACATAGAAAGTAAGTAACTTATTAATCATTATAATCGATCATATTATTGAAAATGAAATATATTTAGTATTTTTGAGTGTGTGTATGTACATGCCTTTATAGGAAGAAAAAAGTGATGAAGCAATATCATGAGGGGATGTGATAGTCTGTTTGAAAATTCACAACTTAACTTTTGTCTATTAAAAGTATAAGTTCGCTATGCATAGAAAGTTTTATCAAATAACTATTCGATTTTAATTTTTTTTTATTCGTTAACATTTTTGAACATCAGCCGATACACAAATGTAAATTACAACAATTTCTTTTTTCTCCAAATTTTGATTCGCTCAACTAGTTGTTACATATTTATCTTAAGCTTGGTATGATTATTTTCATTCTATGTAGAAAAATTGGACGGGGTGATTGGTGTTCATGTTGGTTTCCATGTTTTTTACTTGGTTCTCTATTAGCTGGATTAGTATTGGCTATCGTGATCACACTGTGGTTAACGTCGCAAAAAACAACCACTAGTTCTGTTATAAAAGGTAAAAATCCTCCAAATATCAAAAGGTTTGATATATAGTACATCTTATTTTTGTAACTGTAAGATAATAAATAAATGTCTTCAACTAATTTAGTAGTATCTACGTCAACTACATTGACAACTTTTACGTCAACTACAATGACAACCTCTACATCAACCACTTCAACAACCTCATCGACAACCACATCGACAACAACATCAACAACTTCATCAACAACTTCATCAACAACTACTACATCAACTAGATCGACAACTTCATCAACAACTTCTACAACAACTACCACCGAAACTCCAACGTGTTTGTTTATTGAAATACGTTTACTCGAATACAAATTGAAACAAACTTTTTTAATTATTCTTTTAGGTGCAACTTGGTTATGGAATACAACCGGTGAAACAGTGGCTGGAATTACTGGTTCGCCAGGTAGTAACTCCAGTCAATTAAATGAACCATGGAATATTTATGTTGACCAAACGAATGGTACTCTTTATATTGCCGACTCTAAAAATCATCGTATTCAACGATGGTTGGCAGGAGCAACAAGTGGTACAACTATTGCTGGCACTGGCATCTCAGGTTCAGGTGCAACTTCTCTCAATATACCGAGAGATGTTTTTGTTGATTCAGCACAAAATATTTATGTTGCTGATTCGGCCAATAACCGGATACAGTATTTTCCTTATGGTAATACAACAGGATTGACAGTTTCATCAAGTTGGACTTCTGCTGGTTCATTATGGGGAGTTCAAGTCGTTAATAACACAATTTATGCTTGTGATAATTCTAATTCAGCTATCTGGAAAAATGGATCAGCAGTAGCTGGTAATCAAGGAACAGGTGCCGGTTCTAATAAACTTAATTTACCACAAGGCTTTGCTGTTGACATATCAATTGCCGTAGGTACTGTTTATGCCGTAAATTCACAACAACATACAATAGTACAATGGCTGGTGGGTGCTACATCAGGAAATGTAGTAGCAGGTATGGATGGCACAGCTGGTAGTACTTCAACCCAACTCAGATATCCTGTTTCTATTAAACTTGACTCTTATACAAATATGTTCGTTGTAGACAACAATAACCATCGTATCCAACTCTTCTGTCGATATCCAATAGTTAATTTAACTGCACGTACTATTGCTGGAACAGGTGTCTCGGGACAGACATCTCAAACGTTCACTTATCCAGCAGGAATCGCCCTAGATGCATCACTTAACTTGTATGTTTCCGACACAAGTAATCATCGCATACAAAAATTTCGACGTCTTCTCTAAACTGGAAACTATGATGACTTTATGATGATGACTTGAACAGTGCATTCATAGATAAATATAGTTATTCCTAGAAATAAAGATGTGTACCAATTACTATATTGAATTTCTATCCGATGAGAGTTCGTACATTAAAAAAATCATGTATCTTATACGTTTTCGTCTAGATTTAAAATAATACAAAAATAATTTAAAGCGATTTCTACGAAATAATTTCTAATAGTAATTCAAGTTCGTCTAAGAAATAGAATTGAACCAATCATCATATTTGAGTCGTTAAGTAAAAATTGCAGATATAATATGTAACAAAGATAAATGCTGTGTTTACAATAATATTATTTCTATAATTTGATCATATTTCTATTGATTCATATTTAAAAATATGAATAGGGTATGGGTATGGGTATTAATTCTTCTTCAACTTCACCCACGCCTTACAAAAACGACCTATGCGTGTTGTGCTCGGCGTGGTTCAGAACCATTGCCGTGAAAAGAATTTGAGGTCTAGAGTCGATTTAACAACTCGTCTAGACTCAGTTTTTCATCCTGAATCTGAAAAAAATATTTTCAGAAGCTCAGAAAAGACAAAGAAAAATATCAAGTATATTTTGGAAAGGATGTGTTTTTAAAAAAAAACAACATCTTTCGAATTTTTCGATTCGGAAAAGCATTTACTGACGCTAAAAAATAGTTTTTCTTGATCGATAGCTCACGCTCTGTTAAATGATGTCAAGAATAAGAAAAAAAATTTTACTTGAAATTCGCATGGACGGCACCTTACCTTTCTAGTGTTTCAACGTTCAGATCTCGAAGATATTAGGTATCAATGGCACGACGTCTTTCAGCTTACGCTCTGGAAGATTATCTTCTGATATGTGTTGCCTTTGCTGCACTCAACCAAGCTGTGACATGTAAAGAAGAGGAAAAGTTGATCTCTGAACATTTAGGATAAATCCTTCATTGTATCAAGAGAGCTATACATAGTTTTGTAAGTTTTATTCAAATACAGAAACGTGACAACGAGTCAACATCGTTAGCAATATTTAAACATGTCATTCAGGTATAACCATTGTACGCAGCCGAAGTGTCTCAGTTGGAGCAGACATATTTAGTACGTTTGATTCCATCCTTTGTTCATGATTCATCAAGTTTCGACGGCATGTAGAAGGGATAATTTTTCAAAGAAGTTTGTAAAGATTTTCACGAAATGCTTTTGAAATGATAATATTTAACTAAAACTTACAGACGCTTGCATATATTGGAGATTTAAACCAAAATCTAAGAGAAACAAATCAAAAGCTTGTTGTTCTGCAGTTTTGTTTTCAATCGAAATCCTTTGTGTATAAACATAAATGATCGATCCTGTCGTTGAAAAGACAATAGATATAATGATATCAGACAATATACCATTATGGTTAATTGACAATCTTTGGCTGATAGCACAGACGTATTATTCTCATGCGAAATTGGATACACTCGACGTTGTCGAAAATTTCTTATTGTCGTCAAACCAAATATTGCCATTAGCAATGAAGATAAAAAAAATCACTTACTATCATTGTGGAATAGCTCATAAATGTAGTATAGGCACCAGGATCAAAGAAACAGAAGGATACGCCAGGAGCAGGTGCTTGAATATTGACACGAAACCATATGGGAAAGTAATACAGAAACCATAGAAGAGTCACTCCACTAATTGAACAGAAGACCAAATGATGCGTGCTCCGCTGTCATGTTAATGCATTTCGAGAATTGACTAATGTTCGATTGATTGAAGCCAAAATTAGATAGAATGATGGCAATATAATGAACACATTCATCAGATATATGCGTAATCGACAATAGATTAGATTGAACTTAGTAAAATCGATACCAGATGTGTATTGATAAAAATGCGAAAAGAGACCAGGGCATAATGATAGGATGTTACGTATATTGAATGCAATGAAATAGATGGAACCTGCATTTTTACGCATCGATTTTTTACCAAATACACACAGATTGAGTACTCCACTTATACTCCCTAGAATGATTAGTATGGGCCCATTAATTTTATAAAGATTTGTTGTGGCCATTTTGTATATCTTAACGGTATCCGAAGGTGATATGATGTGTTTGATTGATTGCCTAGAAATGAATTTCGTATGCACTGGCTTGATTAGAAAAGTAAATCTTAATCATGAGAACTAAGCTGTCTTGTCTTCATTCATTACATGCGTTACTTAATTTCGAATTGGAAATCGTCCTAAATCGATGTGTTTGAACTGTCTGGTGAATGTCAAAAAGCATGCACACCAGTGATTAATAGTGGGTAATATATATATGTAAAAAAAATGAATGGTCAAATTATTGCGAATAAAATACATCTGTTAATATGCAACTTCTCTCGACAGTAAGATGAAATCCTTTGGAGATAGATCAACGCTAATTAAGATTACCATTATAAAGATCATTTTTTTAAACATCAAAAGCAATGTCATCTGTGTCAGAAACATTCTACAACTGGAGTTACGCAGAAAACGAGTATAATTTCATCCTCTGGTATGCAGCAAAAAAAAATACAAATATGAATAAATAAGATGGAATACTGGAAAAGGATTGACGACAATTAGAATAATTGGTATTATCGATTGATCCCACTTCTTAGTGGTTAGCAATCGAAGAGAAAGAATAGTTTTGAGGATGAGATAACGCCGAAGCTAGAATCAGTGATAAAACCATCAATGTCCTAGTTTATATGCGACTTCAGGAGAAACACATGCAAACTCGACAATTCATCTCATCTTTCAAAAGTCTGTAATAGTAGACTACTAAAAAAAATTTTTTATCAACAGAGAACATTAAGATATCTTGGAAACGTGCCGCGATTCTTGTTTTGAACACTGTTGCCTTCTTTCTTTCTTCACTCAATTTTTCAGACAAGGAATGTAAAGTCAGTCACAACTTAATTAATTTCTAAGTCGTTCTATAGAGAAAGATAAAAAGTCGAAATCTCTTTATGCGTAAATAGAAATGAGATTGCTAGTTGGTATAAATTTCATCGACCAATGATGGAAGAAGAGAAAATGTCTGGTGATTGCATGGAATTGTCATGCAACGCCTATATAATCTTGATATAATCTGAAATGATATAGCTGTTGTAATAGAATGAAGAACCTTATCTTAGAGAAAGGAGTGGAATAGATTATAAAAAGTTTTTTTTTGTTGACAGTGCTAACAACATTCAGAAAATGCTTTCTCTACCTAAAACAATGGAAACATGATTGTCTATGTAGAAAATTGTTGATATGAGTTTTGTATTTGCAAGACACATGAACCTCTAGAAGATTATCAAATGCATATAACCAAGAACTGAAGAGTCACAACTGATATATTCAAGAGCATACTTTTTATAAATCATACATTGTTGAAAGCTAGAAGAAAAAAATTGAGAGAAGAATTCCTCATCGTTGTTGTCAAATTCATGAAGCTGTCTTATAACATTTAATATGAAATAAATTAACAAAAAGGTTTAAATTAAGTAAATGAAGGAAATATTAAATCGTTTTGTTTGTCGACTCAAAATGCTCAAAGAAGAGATAACAAAACAAAATCTTTTTTAATTGCATTTAATACGTTTACATTTAGGTTCAACGCCTAGATGGCATACAGTAGCTGTAAAAATCATCCAATCACCACTGAAGTGTTTTTTGTGGACCAATTTTTCAATGATGACAGCACGTAAAGGTTTTTCGTTTTTGGCGCACTATGTTGTAATGTGTAAGGAAGATATGTGTAGAACTTCGAGTCTCCATCTTAATCTGTTAGATCGTATGGCCGAGAAAAGTTAAATTCTATATACTTTTCATTTGTCATAATTGTCCAACCACTTCTTTTAGCTAATGTCCTGTAAGTTTATTTCAACTTCAAAACCACATCAAGAAACATCACTCGATAGAAACAATTCTGGTCTGCAAGAGACCGTAATTTTCATGTGATTATACTTGGCAAAACGAACAATTATGGATTAGTTTCTAAAAGTACCAATAGTTTTTGAATAAGGTGGTTTTCTGTTGAACTTATAAGCGAATATGAATCTTGACTACATTGTTAGAAAGAGCACATCAGACTGTACGAAAGATATGAATCCTAGTGGATGATGCTAATATGTGTGGTGGCCGGTACTATGGTATCAGAGTGCATCAAATGGCACAACAAATTTTGTTTTAAAGTGTGGATTTGTACAAATTTTTATTTCGTACATTACTAAAATATTTGGAGAATTCAGTGCTCATAACTCGAAGCGATCAGACCTCACTATTTGTCTAACCAAATAAGGGTTGCTACGATACTTGTACTATGAGTAGCATATTTACTTTAGAGTATTTACTTAAATAAAAAGAAAAGTAAAGATGACTTTTTAATCCATTGTCTTCTAGTTTCATGTATTCTCTTTATTTATATTATCGTTCAGACTATCAGAGGATGAGAGACAGATCCAAACAGGAGGACGTTTTGCAGGCTTGATCTGTTTGTGACGAGTCTTTACCGTTTCCTCAAACCTCTCTGACCTGCTGTCACAGATGAGGCAGGTAGCCTTCAGACATGCATCATGACTGAACTCGCCGGGTCCAGTCATTGCTAAGTTTCTATGAAAATCATTAGAAACTTATGGGAGTCAGCTGAAATTCCAAGAAATCCATGAAAATCCTTTGGAGCTTCTCAGAAATTCCTATAAACTTATAAAACCTTTAAGAACCCTTGAAGTCCCCAAGAACTCACTAAAAACCCATTAAACATCTTTGCAAGCCCCGATGACCCACGAATTTATACACACGGTTTGGATGTTATAACCTTCATCTTGTTCAGATGTGGTCATAAGGATATTCTCTCTTTATCTATAAGATTATATATATGCACTCGTGTTCTTCTTTTGTCTTGTTGTTAGTCATCTATCATGAATTTTCCTTTTCTGTTATATAAGCTAGATTTTTCTTCCTTTATTCATCGTTTATAAGATTTTC